GAGTTAAGCTCAAGTATGAAATGTCTGCATACAGATGATTATTACTCATGCTTCACACCTAGTCCAGACATTGGATTTTACATTATCTCCCTGTATCCTTTTATCAATTATAAAGTGTGACAATTATTGGCTTCTTTTTAGTCATATTATACCATAGGTAAGAATTACTTTAAAATAACGGTAACTTGGGAGGCCAAAGCAGGCAGATAATGAGGTCAGGAGTTCGAGACCAGTCTGGCCAACATAGTGAAATCCCATCTCTACAGAAAATACAAAAAATTAGCCGGGTGGGCAGGGCATGGTGGCTCCCGCCTGTAATTGCAGCACTTTGGGAGTCCGAGGCAGGTGGATCACCTGAGGTCAGGAGTTCAAGACCAGCCTGACCAACATGGAGAAACCCTGTCTCTACTAAAAATACAAAATTAGCCAGGTGTGGTGGCACATGACTGTGATCCCAGCTACTCAGGAGGCTGAGGCAGGAGAATCACTTGAACATGTGAAGTTGAGGTTTCAGTGAGCCAAGATTGTGATACTGTACTCCAGTCTGGGCGACAAGAGGAAAACTCCATCTAAAAAAAAAAACACAAAAATTAGCTGGGTGTGGTGGTGTGTGTCTATAATCCCAGCTACTCAGGAGGCTGAGGCAGGAGAATCATGTGAACCTGGGAGGTGGAGGTTGCAGTGAGCTGAGATCGCGCTGTTGCACTCCAGCCCAGGTGACAGTGCCAGACTCCATCTTAAAACAAGACTATAACTTAGCAAATTGGTTTTAGATGCTTAAAAGCACAATGAAAGTGATAACGCTTAAATTGTCAGGGAAATAATTTTCTTTTGGTATCTATATTTGTCTATATGTTCTTTATGGTCAACTGTTTACTATTCTGTAAACATTATCAATAATCTATTATATAGCTACCATATCTGATTTAATTATAACCTCTTTAAGCCTTTTGGTATTTGCTTCCTCACAGCCTTTTTGCTTACTTAAGTTCATACTTTTACTTTATTACCAATGGATACAGTACTGGGCTTCTTTTTATATACATCACTGAGACGAGGGTAGCTCTGATACCTGACCAGAAATAGATGACAGCAGGGGATTGAGGCAAATACTGTAGTTTCCTAGTGACAATCAGGAATCATTAGGGACTCAAGTGGCAATAGCAATGGCTGCTTGAAGCACTGTAGGTTAGTTTATAGGCACAGGGCCTTGTATCTCACATGTTAAAGATTGCTGATTATTGCTGTAACCAGAACTGTAAGGAAAAGTAGGCATACATAATAGAAATACATTAAATCAATATTTTTTTCCTCCAAGACTAGGGATAATTCAGAGTGAGAAAGTAAAAATTAGCTCAGACTAAGACTATAAATAGCTGCTTTGTCATTAATTGAGCTGGGATAACAAACCCAGGTAAAACCAGCTGCAAAGTTAATGGGAAATAATATTTCTCCTAAGGATATGCTGACACTGTAAAGTATAATAGCAAGGCCCTTCTTTGAGTGTTTGCTTTCTAATTCACTGAAAAACTTTGTTCTCTAAAATCATATACTCTAGGAGAATTTGCTGCTTGAAATTATATCAGCAAAAATGAAACACCCTACTCTTGCTTTGGGGATCTATGTCATTTTGATACAAAGAAGCAGCCTCAATTAAGGGGCTCCTGAATACAACATTCCACATCTATGGTAACTTTGTAGTTTCCAAGACACAGGATCCTGAGACTATTCTGCAGTCCCTACTGGATGCAGACAGTCCTGCTTTCAGTTTATCAAACACTGCTTCTTTAAATTCACCTAATCCCATGCTTCCCTAAAAGACTATAAATGTATCTTTTCCTTTGCTTCCTGAGATACCTCTAGTGTTCCGTTTCCCTCATTGGAATGTGTATCAGGTGGTTCTTGCATTGCTATAAAGGAATACCTGAGACTGAGTATGTAAGAAAATAGGTTTAATTGGCTCACGATTCTGCAGTCTGTACAGGAAACACAGTGCTGGCATATGCCTCTGCGGAGGCCCCAGGAAGCTTTTACTCATGGCAGAAGGTGAAGCGGGAGCAGGCACGTCCCATGGCCAGAGCAGGAGAGGGAGAGAGAAGGAGAGAGACGGAGGGAAGGAGAGAGAGAGAGGGAAAGACAGGGAGGGAAAGAGAGGGAGGGAGGAAGAGAGTGAGGGAGGAAGGGGGGAGAGGCCGAGAGAGAGAGAGAAAGAGAACATACTTTTAAAACACCAGATCACATACTTTTAAAACACCAGTTCTCCTGAGCTCACTTATCATTAAGGGGATGGCCCAAGCCATTCATGAGGGATCTGCCCCATGATCCAGAACTCCAACACTGGGGATTACAATTCAACATGAGATCTGGGCAGGGACAAATATTCACATTATATCAGAAGGATCAGTAAGCTCAACTTTGTCAGACTATAGTTTTAACAGGTTTGTCCCTGTTGGTCTTGGGCTAACTGGGTTAGGACAAAGAGGCATCAAAATCTAGAAAGGTTGATGCCTATGAACTATAATAGTCTTTTGAGGCAATGAAAATGTGTAAGAAAAGTAAGATTCAATAGCATGATGTTATGTGAACCAGAAATGCCACAAAATGGCTCAGCAGCATTTGACCCACCATCTTAATTGGGATCAGTGTGTGTGTGTGTGTGTGTGTGTGTGTGTGATGCTCTTCCTTACCAGAAGGAATGATAGTTTCTTAAACTGTAGTTGATTCTGCAACCTAGGACAGGGGTAAAAAAAAAACCTCTTATTGTCAGAAATTAAAACATACTTCAAAAAGCTAGTGATGGCCGGATGTGGTGGTTCACACTTGTAATCCCAGAGTTTTGGGAAGCTGAGGTGGGAGGATTGTTTTAGGTTGGGAGTTCGAGAACCAACCTGGGCAACAAAGTGAGACACCCCCACCCACAAAAAGAAATCTCTACAAAAAAAAGTAAAACCAGCTGGTGCAGACTGAAAAAAGAGGCAGGCTTACAAGGGCCATACTGGAACAAATCAAGCATTTAGAAATTATACTTAATTGAGGTAAGTTGACACTAAAACGATAGTCCAAAATGGGAAGAGATAAACCATACAAAGCAATAGCTGTAAAACAAAAGGAGTATATGATAGAGTATTTGTAATTTTTAAAATTAATTTCAAGTACATATATAAATTTTCTGTTTAAATGTATGTGTAAGTGTATATGCAGTAGAGAATTGAATAATTCTACAAGTGGAAACTACCAATTATAGGGAGGGATGATTGGCACCAGTGAGCACACTTACTACGGGTAGAGGAAAAGTCTAACACTATTCCAAATTACATTTCAAATGTCTGCCTCTACAAAATCAACTCTGGTCTCCTGGGAGCCCCTCCCAATATTAATAGGATGCTAATAAGGCATGCAAAATGTTCCATTTACGTTAACAGACCATATAGATCTATATGTATGTTTAACAACAAGACAATGGTGTATAATGTCACCAGTCAACCCTCTAAAAGGACAATTTTGGAGAAAGAACATGCTGCAGAAGGTGTAGGCTGCACGGCAGCTCAGAATCTTGCATCCCTATTCCCATAAGGGCTGAGGTATTTTCATAGCATTTTAAACGGATTCATGTACATTGAACATCATTTATTTTACCAATGAATTATTTCTAATACCAATTATGACAGCTAATTAGCATCCCCTAGTGAAAGTGGAGATTATAGTGGTTAAAATGCCTGTTGATACATCTAATTAATTAATTAATTTAGAGACCAAGTCTCATTGTGTCGCCTAGGCTGGAGCACAGTGGCGTGATCTTGGCTCACTGCAACCTCCCGAGTTCAAGTGATTCTCCCGCTTCAGCCTCCTGAGCAGCTAAGATTACGCCCGGCTGATTTTTTGTATTTTTAGGCATTTCACCATGTTGGCCAGGCTGATCTCGATCTCCTGACCTCGTATCTGCCTCGACCTCCCAAAGTGCTGGGATTACAGATGTGAGCCACCGCGCCCAGCCGATACATACACTTTTTTTTTTTTTTTTTTTTTTTTTTTTAACAGAGTCTCGCTCTGTTGCGCAGGCTGGAGTGCAGTAGGGCAAATTCGGCTCACTGCACCCTCTGCCTGCCAGGTTCAAGCAACTCTCCTGCCTCAGCCTCTCAAGTAGCTGGTACTACAGGCGTGCACCAACACGCCCAGCTAATTTTCTGTACTTTCAGTAGAGACGGGGTTTCACCACGCTGGCCAGGCTGGTCTTGAACTCCTGACCTCATGATCCACCCACCTCAGCCTCCCAAAGTGCTGGGATTACAGGCGTTAGCCACTGCGCCGGGCCGATACATCTAATTTTTTTTTTTTTTCTTGAGATGGAGTCTTGCTCTGTCCCTAGGCTGGAGTGCAGTGGTGCAGCCTCGACTCACTGCAACCTCCGCCTCCTGGGTTCAAGCGATTCTTCCGCCTCAGCCTCCCGAGTAGCTGGGACAACAGGCGCGTGCCACCACGCCTGGGTAATTTTTTTGTGTTTTTAGTAGAGACGGGGTTTCACCATGTTGGCCAGGACGGTCTCGATCTCTTGATCTCGTGATCCGCCCGCCTCGGCCTCCCAAAGTGCTGGGATTACAGGCGTGAGCCACCGCGCCAGGCGATACATCTAATTTTTAAAGGCCCTTTTGTTGTGCGAAAATCATTAGTTAGAATGTCTGGCTGGGTAAATATATCAATGACAATGCTGACGATATTGAACAGGCACAAGACTTGTGAACAATATGTAACATAAATCATAACTAATCTAGAATACAAGGTAACAGTGGAAGGTAATGAACCAGGTGGAAATTATAAACGTTGCCGCAAGTACTTTCTGTTACTTTACGAGTTCTGGGAGCTTCTCCAACAGCTTTGACAGGTGTGAATCCCTTAGGCTAACCCCAAATCCTTATTTGCCGCCTACTCACTTTGTGAGGACTACGATTCCCAGAAGGCAACGCTCCCTTGACTCCGCTTCCTTCGGCCGGCGGAGCGCTGCAGTTTACAGAAGCATTTCCCGGACCGAGTTTCACACACCTCTCACCTAGGATGCGGCCGGGAACGCCTTCTCTCCATCCGCGTTCTCCCCATTTTGGGGTGTAGCTCGGATTCCTGAGCTCATTTTCAACGCTTGGCCGACCGGGAGGCCGACGAGGCGCTCTAGGCCGAGCGTCTTCGTCTCTATGACCACAAGGGGCGGTCCCCGGTGTCCTGTTCGGGGGCGCGGAGGGGGCGGGCGTCAGTTCCGCGCGGTGCTGTCGGGGAACCATGGCTGCCACGAGAGGTGAGAACCCTGGCTGCCGGGAGTGGGGAGTCCGCGGGGGGCGGCACCTGTCGGGCGGCGGAGCACCTTGGTTGCCCACGGCCTGTGGGGCCGGGCTGAGGCGTCAGGAGTTTGCGTGGAGCCTCTCCCGGCCGTTAGGGTAGCCGGCCTCCCGCTGCAGCTGCAGTCTCCGCGGTTGACTCTGCGCCGGCAGGTCGGCGGTCCGAGACCGCGCTGGCCTTCACGAGCTGGCGGTGGGTGGGAACCGAATTCTGATAGGCCGGGGCTGCGGCGAACCCCGAGAGGGGCCGGGGCTGGACCGCATCACCCGGCGAGGCAGGACAGTTCTTGGCCCTGGCCCCGCGGCTTCGGTCTCCTCTGCGCCTCCTGCCCTGCAGATGCTCAGCGGCTTAAGGGCAGGCTCCGGGCGCAGACCCCACTAAAGACATCACTGGGGCGTCGAAACAGCACTGAAACCGTAACGAGAGGAAGATAACAATCGTTAACAGTTCCCACCTGTATGCTGTACGTAGTTGCAGAGAATGCTGTATGCAGTCAGAAGGAACACTTCGATATTTGGGGTGGAAGGTGAGATCCGCCTCTCTCCTCCCAAGAGATGGCACATTCAGGTGAAGGCGTATTTGTTGACTAATTGCCATTTAAGGAGGGCGAGTCTAATTGACTCCGCACCACTTTTGCTGAGCAGTGTATATAAGGCGAGAGAAGAGCTGAATTTTTTGACGGTGGAGCAGTAACTAGGAGAGTTTGGGCGACACCCGGATTCTTGCTCCACCCTTCCTGCATAGAGCACTTGGCTTCACCTTTGAATAAATATTAAACAAATACCTAAGGAATATCTTCTTCCGTGAGTGTCAAGTTATTTTCCCTGTTGCGGGCTCCATGTTTATCATCAGGCCCTGCCCAGGGGCATTTTTATGCTTCTCTTATGTGTTCTTTGTATTTTATTTCAAATAAGTCTAATCCTAAAATCCTTTTTGGAGCAACACAGGAAATAAAGGAAAAAGAAGTAGAATTGTTCTGATAACTAAAATTGATAAGGATAGCAAAATTGATCCGAACGAAAACTTATAAATTACAGAAGTCAAATCATTACTTGAAATAGCTGCAACAATGTAAAGGTTTAGGCTTATTGCCAGTACATAATTGTTGAGGCTTGATTGTAATCCTAACAAAATTGAAGTTCCCATACCTTCCGAATATCCGCAAAGGATTTATCGGGGACTTCCTGAATTTCTAAGTTCTTAGGTATTACAAATAACGTCCCCCGTAAACTATAGTAAAACATAACTGAAAAAAATAATACTGTAAGTTTCTTTTGGGGGACATTTCCATACAAATACTGTGTGGAAGCTAACGGAACTTTATGAGAAGCAGAGAACAATACACAGTTAAGATGTGGCTGCCAGTTGAATTGTGGACTTCGTTTATAGTTACTGGCATTGGGCATGATTTGAATTATGTGCCCAATTTGAAGTGATTATATGTGTACTTTTGATATCCTGAAAAAATTGAAATTGCTAATAACGGAAATTTTATATTGGAGAATTTGTGAATGGAGTGAACTAGAAATAGTTTGATCTGATGTTAAACTGCCAGAGAAAATCATACCTAAAAACATTTAGTATTATTTAAAAGTTGAAATACGTTTAAAAATGGTATTCCATATCAAAGCCCAATCTGTTTTGCAAATACCTAAACTTATTTGATTACCCTTCCACTTAGATCGGTAGTTATTTTCAAGAATATAATATATATTCCCAAATAATCACTACACAAATAGGTATTTTTTCAAGTTAATGACAATATTATAAGTCAGATGTGTGTGTAGGATATAACTATTTGGTTTAGTGTTTAAATATTCACTATGTTGTTTTTGAATATACAATAGCTAAAATGAAGTACTTTTTAGTTTATCAGCCCTAACCTCTCTTATTTATGAAAGTGTTGATAATCTAGGACAGGAGTTGCCAAACTTTTCCTATAAAGGGCTGGATAGTCTCTTGTCATAACTACTCAGCTCTGCTGTTGTAGGGGAAAAAAAGTAGCCAGATAATTTAGAAACAAATGAGCATGGCTACATTCCAATAAAACTATTCATGGACACAGAAATATTTGAATTTCATACAATATTCATGTATCACAAGATGTTATTAAATTTTTTTTATCAACGATTTAAAAATGTAAAACCATTCTGAGTTCACAGGCCTCATGTAAACTATTGACATCTGTAGCTTGTTCACCCCTTATTCAGAAGATGGGGAGTACCTTCTCTTCTGATTAAAGATTATTGCTGTTTATTTTTGAAGTATTTTTTCCCTTGTGTAGGGAAGTTTTAGAACAAAGGAAGTATTATAGTGATCTCCTTCACTTCCTTTTATATAACACTGATTTTTGGCTCCTCAGATCTTTTGGAAAGAAAGTTTAAGCAGTTATAAACTATTTCTTCTGTTTTACTTTTTATTTAAAGCCTGATATAATTTTTAAAATTTGCCTACAGTTCACAAAATATTCTTTAATTCACTTGGAAAATATTTATATTGAGGAGCCTATCTCTTTTAAGTTCCAACCATAGTGTATCTAAAGATAATCTGTTTGGGCCGGGCACAGTGGCTCATGCCTGTAATCCCAGCACTGTGGGAGACTGAGGCGGGTGAATCACTTGAGGTTGGGAGTTTGAGACCAGCCTGACCAACATGGAGAAACCCCATCTCTACTAAAACTACAAAATTAGCCGGGCCTGGTGGCGCATGCCTGTAATCCCAGCTACTCGAGAGGCTGAGGCAGAGGTTGTGGTGAACCAAGATGGTACCATTGCACTCCAGCCTGGGCAATGAGCGAAACTGTCTCAAAAAAAAAAAAAAAAGAGATCTGTTTGACACTCCTATTTTATGTCCCTATGAAAACAGTTTTTGAATTGTGTTAGGCTCCCAAAGCAGTGAATAAAATCATACTTAGCACATAATGTAGTTAAAGTAGCAGGCTGGAGTTCCCCCATGTCCTTCTGTTTCTTAACCTGGGGTTGTCAAAGTACGGCTCTTGAAAGCCTAAAATATTTATTTCTGGCCTTTTACAGAAAAAAATTAGCTGATCCCTGTTTAACCTCAAGCCTAAAGATTTGAATGGACGTAAAAGGGAACTAGGGGACAATAGGTGGGAGGTGGGTAAGGAAAGTAGAAATAGTTTGATCCTTGGGTGGTGGCAGTTAAGTAACCAAGCAGGTCTGGGAATAAGGAAGTATGAGGGAGACTTTGTACTCAGTGCTTATGGTTTTACCAAAGGTCTTGGACAGGCTTTGGTGCCTGAGAGATGGCTCCTGCTTGGATATACTTGCAGGCAATTCTTAAATTGAGTGTTTATGTGTTTCCTGCATTTTTGGTTTTTTTTTTTTTTTTTGAGACGGAGTTTCGCTCTTGTTACCCAGGCTGGAGTGCAATGGCACGATCTCGGCTCACCGCAACCTCCGCCTCCTGGGTTCAGGCAATTCTCCTGCCTCAGCCTCCTGAGTAGCTGGGATTACAGGCATGCACCACCATGCCCAGCTAATTTTTTGTAGCTTTAGTAGAGACGGGGTTTCACCATGTTGACCAGGATGGTCTCGATCTCTTGACCTTGTGATCCACCCGCCTCGGCCTCCCAAAGTGCTGGGATTACAGGCTTGAGCCACCGCGCCTGGCCTGCATTTTTGGTTTTATGGAGCTGTGTTCTTATTATTTTTTTCCTGTGTTGGGAGTTACTGTGTCATATAATGCAATGAAATGAGTGGCTAGGCGTAACTTGCTTATTGTGATAGTTTTTTATTAAGCCCCACTCTTATTTCTCGGTTATTTTCTTTCTGCTGCCTTTAAGTTTAGAATATACATTGCTGCAGTTGCTTTTATGCTTTGCATTCACAAGTTTGTAATCCATAAAGGTATTTAAAATATGTGCCGGGGCCAGGCATGGTGGCTTACACCTGTAATCCCAGCACTTTGGTAGGCTGAGGAGGGTGGATCACCTGAGGTCAGGTGTTCGAGACCAGTCTGGCCAATATGGTAAAACCCTATCTCTACTAAAAATACAAAAATTAGCCTGGCGTAATGGCGAGCGCCTGTAATCCCAGCTACTCAGGAGGCTGAGGTGGGAGAATTGCTTGAACCCAGGAAGTGAAGGTTGCAGTGAGCCAAGATCGTGCCAACAATATCATGACACTGCAGTCCAGCCTGGGTGACAGAGTGAGACCCTGTCTGAAAATAAGTAAAGTAAAGTAAATATGTGCTGGGCACAGTGGCTCACACCTGTAATTCTGGCACTTCAGGAGGCTGAGGTGGGCAGATCACCAGAGGTCAGGAGTTTGAAACCAGCCTGGCCAACATGGTGAAACCCTGTCTCTACTCAAAATGCAAAAAATTAGCTGGCCTTGGTATTGCGTGCCTGTAGTCCCAGGAGGCTGAGGCACAAGAATCAGTTAAACCTGGGAGTCAGAGGTTGCAGTGAGCTGAAGTTGCACTAATGAAGTTGCACTCTGCCTGGGGGACAGAGTAAGACCCTGTCTCCAAATGAAAACAAACAACTATACATTTATGTACGTATACAACTATATATATGTACATATTACATACATATATAATTTATAGCATCTTGAACTAAAACCAGTATGCTACATACTCTTGCAATTAGGGTACTCCCCAGGAACATATGCCTAATTGGCTGATGTTTAAAGTCAGCTGTGTCTTGTGTATGTGTGTATGTTTGCGTAATTGACAAGTATTGTTTTGAAAAAATTTTTAAACATAGGTTTTAGAAAATATTTTGTGCTTGGAATTGGAAAGTATTTGGGGGCCATAACTAGTTGATTAATTTATATATACATATATTGTCTACTGAGTAATGTCATTGTTGCATGTATTTTCCAGACAATGTCACTTTATTATTCAAGTTATACTGCTTGGCAGTGATGACCCTGATGGCTGCAGCCTATACCATAGCTTTAAGATACACAAGGACATCAGACAAAGAACTCTACTTTTCAACCACAGCCGTGTGTATCACAGAAGTTATAAAGTTATTGCTAAGTGTGGGAATTTTAGCTAAGTGAGTATAAATACTTTTAATGTGTTAAATTCCTTTTCTACCTGGTTAGGGTATTTATTAGAAAATTAAAGCTACATCTTTATATGTTTAATTGCTCTGGGCCAGTATTTCTCAACTAGGGGTGATTTTGCCTCCCCCTCCTCAGAAGATTTTTGAGTTGTCACAACCTGAGAGATCCTTCTGGCATCTAGTGGGTGGAGGCCAAGGATGCTGTTAAACATCCTGCAGTCCCCATGACAGCCTCACAGCAAAGAATTACCCAGCCCCAAATGTCAGTAATGCTGAGGTTGAAGAATGCTGCTGTAGGGTCGGAGTTGGCAAAGTATGTCCCATGGGCCAAATCCAGCTTGCTCCCTGGTTTTGGTGTAATAGCGACTGACTGGCTTACAAAGCCTAAAATATTTACTGTTTGGCCCTTAGAGAAAAAAATTAACTGTGTTTTGGATGAGTATAATAATAATAAACATTTCTCGAGTGTTTCCTGTGCTAAGTGCTAGGCACTGTGCCATGTGTTTTTCATGTTTTCTCATTTACTCCTTATACATTTTCAAGGTAAGTACTTTACCCCTGTTGTATTGACACAGCATCTGAAGTTCTTTAAGATTTACACTGTTAATATGTGGCAGCACCTGGCTTTGAGTCAGGAACATCATGCAAAAATTATTTAGCTAAGGATATGGCATGAGAGAGGGTTAAGAATAGCGGCATTGGAGGAGATAGGCATAATTTTAATCCTAGACTGGGATTGTGGATGCATACACATTTTGTAACCTCTTTAAGCTTCAGTTTCTTCATTTTTTAAATTAGAGAAGATAATATGGGGTGGCGAAAATTAAATAAAATCCAATAAGTAAATTACTTGGGGAAAGATTTATGAGATGGGGACCTATTTGAGTCACTGGGGCAGTTAAGAAGTCATACAGGTTTCCAGATATGTATTGGTGAATGAGGGGAAGCAGGGAGGAATAGTGTTGTATGTAGGCTTTTATGTAGAAACATACACATTACATTTAAATGTTGGAATATTACAAGACATTGTGATTGCTTCAGTTTCAGCAGTGTGTGATGAGACAGTTGATAATACAACCACAAGCATGGCTATCATTTTGGGGAAAGATACCCAGTGAAAGTGTTGAAAATTGGTTCTAGATCTTGAAAAAGCTTATACTAATCTACTTGAAGTAGCTGGAATATGAAAAAGATGAATAAAATACATGGCCAGACTACGGACTGTTAAGGGTGACATCAGCAGTTAAGAGGAGCAGCGAGTGCAAGGGCCTAGAGCTTTTTAATGGTCTTTTGGATTTAGTGTTTGCAAAACAGTAAAATATTTTTCAGGTACTCTCAGTGTTGTCATTTCTTTGTACACATTTTAAAATGGTAATTCAAAAAGAGTAAGTAGCAAACGGAATGTTATGTAGTCTGTTAAAACACAGGTTGCATGTCAGTGCTTTATTTGCTGCGATGGAGAGGCTTCCAAATATCAGAAAATAATTGTTACACAAAAAATTTTTTGAGATGATTTGTCATATGCACAGGAAACCAAAGTTGATTTATGTGTTTGGATTTATATTTGCTTGAAAACTCCTTCCCATATAATGTTAAAATAATTGTGTAGAGCTAAAAACAAGAATGAAATTAGATTTTTTTCTTTGCTTTCAAAGTAGAGAAGACTTTATCATCTCACAGAAAGGATGACAATTTCAGGATATTATGGGAAGCTGTGGAAGTATTATATTAGAAATCCATCTTTAAAAAAAAATAACTGAAGGTTTAGAACTTGAACTTTCTCTTCAGAGGAGAAAAATTAAGAAAAACTTAGATCTTGGCCAGGTGTGGTGGCTTACACCTATAATCCCAGCAGTTTGGAGGCCAAGTTGGGAGGCTTTCTTGAGCCCAGGAGTTGGAAACCAGTCTGGCAACATGGCGAGACTCCATCTCTACAAAAAAATTAAAAAATTAGCTGGGTGTAGTGAGGTGGGAGGATTGCTTGAGCCCGAGAGGACCTGCAGTGAGCCGTGATCGTACCACCGTACTCCAGCCTGGGCAACAGAGCAAAACTCTGTCTCAGAAAAAGAAAGAAAGAAAAAAAAACATTAGAAGATCTTAGATCTTGATTAAAATAGTGTATTTCCCCCATATTCCGAGAGAAATATTGTGAAGTTAATGTAAAAATTAGTAGCATTTACTCAGTTTTGATTTGAGTTTTCTGGAGAATGAATAGAGGGAAAGGAAAAGAAATTACTGTTTAAATGGAAAAAAACTTCCATTTAAATAGTAATTCACGGCTGGGTGTGGTGGCTCACGCCTGTAATCTAAGCAGTTTGGAGGCCAAGGCGGACGGATCACTTGAGGTCGGGAGTTCAAGACCAGCCTGACCAACATGGTGAAACCCTGTCTTTAAAAAAAAATAAATAAAAAATAAAAAAAATAGTAATTCATTTTATAATTTAAACTTCATTTAAAACTACGATTAAATGAAGTAAAACCTTCTTCCTTTTTGCCCATTCTTTACACTGTGATAATGTGCAATAACTTTATAGGGTTGATACAAATATTATACTAGAACTTCAATTTTATTGGAACTGTGAAAAGCTTAATCTCAGAGCAGTTCATTTGGTGATTTGTTTAGTATGGTCTCTGATGCTGTTTGTTCAGTAATGTTCTTTGCTCAGTGAATAGTCTTGGTTAATTGTTAAAGTAAGTACATATATCGGAGTGAGAGGTGGCAGCAGAAACTTATCAAAGTAGGATCTGAAATTCTGTGTCTCACTTATAATTAAGGTTCACTTACGTAATAACATATCACTGCCATATCCAAATCTATGTTTCATTCCTTCCAAACATTGGAAGCAAAAAGTCATTCTAAGTTGTTTCAAGGTATTGTTAATAAGATATATGGGACAGTCAGGCTCATGCATTCATTTATTTATTTATTTAGAAAATTTAGAAAATACTTATCTGCTGGGCACAGTGGGTCACGCCTGTAATCCAGCACTTTGGGAGGCTAAGGCTGGTGGATCACCTGTGGTTGGGAGTTTGAGACCAGCCTGACCAAAATGGAGAAACCCCATCTCTACTAAAAATACAAATTAGCTGGGTGTGGTGGCACATGCCTATAATCCCAGCTACTCGGGAGGCTGAGGCAGGAGAATCACTTGAACCCAGGAGGTAGAGGTTCCGGTGAGCTGAGATCGTGCTATTGCACTCCAGCCTGGGCAACAAGAGCGAAACTCTGTCTCAAAGAAAATACCTATCAAACCCCAATTATGTACTCAACACTGTTCTAGTGAAAACACTAGAACAGTACAAATTAAAAAGGTGTAGTTCTGCCCTCATGGACTTATAGTTGATTGGAGAACCGAACATCATAAATAGGCGATGTTATGAGGGAAAAGTAGAGGGTGCTACAAACACGCATAATAGAGGGCCTACATTTTGATTAGAGAGTTTGAGGAAGTTATATTTAACCCTAGAACTGTCAGCTGAGTAGACTTCAGATAAGGAAAGAGCAGAAAGAAGACAGAGAACTGTGTGTTTGAAATCCTTGAGGCAGAAAAGTGCTTGACTTTAGTGTTGAGATGAAGCAGGAGAGGTCATCAGGGTATCAGAGTAGTATTATGGGCCTGTTAAGGATTTTAGATTTGACCTGAAGTGCATTAAAAAATCATTAAATGGAGCCAGGCGCAGTGGTTCATGCCTGTAATCCCAGAACTTTGTGGGGCTGAGGTGGGTGGATCACCTGATGTCAGGAGTTTGAGACCAGCCTGGCCAACATGGTGAAACCTCATCTCTATTAAAAATACAAAAATTAGCTGGGCGTGGTGGCACACTCCTGCAATTCCAGCTACTTGAGAGGCTGAGGCAGGAGAATTACTTGCACCTGGGAGGCGGAGGTTGCAGTGAGCTGAGATTACGCCACTGCACTGTAGCCTGGATGACAGAGCAAGACTTCATCTGAAAAAAAAAAAAAAAAAAAAAAAATCATTGAAGGGTTTAAATCAGGGACTAACATAGAACCCATATTGTGGGTCACTTTAACCTTTTTGAGAATGAATTGAAAGTAGGGAAACTTAATAGAGGCAAGAGATAATCACCTAGGATGACAGCACAGGTCAGAAGTTAATGGATTTGAGTTATGCTGTGGCATAGAATCTGTAGGACTTGGTGATGGGTTTGGATGCATAGTAAGTTCTGGTCAATCACAGTATTTACATTCTATAAAGTCACCACCAACATTAAACTAGTGAATACTGAACCCTTGGGGATATATACGGTAGCTTCCTGTGAGCAACTGATCACATTTTTGTCAGTCAATACAGTAACCTTGTTTTATGTGTGCTTCAGACTAAAGACACTTTCTTTAATGTATATTATTGATTAATTAGCATTGAACTCATGGCCAACAGCACTATGACATGCCTGAAGAAAGCTTATCTATCACATGTATTTTCTCCATAATATATATCATATCCTTCTTATGCTTAGGAATATCAGATGGCGCTTCAGCCCTATAGCACTTAGGAGCCATTTAAACAAAATCACCAACACAAAGCACAAAAATGCAAAAAATGTGGCACTGAATAGATTGTACTTGTTGAAATAAAGCGTAATGTTAGCTTGTTCAGCCTCAGGAATGTGCGTGCTTGGTGAAGCAAATTTTTTGTCACTCTGCGCCTGTCTGCCAAAGACTGAAAGTGTTACAAGTATTGATTTGGGGGTTACAAATACATTTTAATGAGAGGAGAATTCACACATACAGCCCGTGAATAATAATGATCAACTATAGTAGGTGAAGGAAACGGAGGTATCAGGAATCATATCTGTGTTTCCTAGTACAAACAATTCAGTAGAGTTATTTTTTTTCTGAGACAGGAAAAACAGATTTGGGGGAAGAAGATGCCAACAGTTTGATTTTGGGCATGTGTAATGTAAAGTTTTTAATATCTTGAGACATCCAGATGGGCAGTTGGATTAAACGGGTATGGAACTCAGAAGAG